TAGAAATGGCGTAAAAAATACTATAATACCATGATTTGTCACTGATTTGTCGATGATAGATGATACGCTTACCCTCATTGTTAATTCAACCTCGAGTTGGTCAGTGAAAAACGATTGAAGAGCCATCAAGTTATCTCAAAAAAAGAAATATCCTAAAACTATACTGACAAAGCAGCGACAATTTAAGGTTCTTTTCGCCACCTTGACGGCTTCCACTTGTTTTTCGCTGGACAGCTGGAGGATTTAGAGCAGTGACAAAATTAGCAAAAATACCATCTTGTAGTGACAAATTATAACCGTTACAGTATTTTTCCACATCATTTCTATTTCGAGATCGCTATGTGTAGCGCCACCTTGACGGCTTCCACTTGTTTTTCGCTGGACAGCTAGAGGATATAGAGCAGCGACAAAATAAGCAAAAATACCATCTTGTAGTGACAAATTATAACCGTTACAATATTTTTCCACATCATTTCTATTTCGAGATCGCTATGTGTAGCGTCACCTTGACGGCTTCCACTTGTTTTTCGCTGGACAGCTGGAGAATATAGAGCAGTGACAAAATAAGCAAAACTACCATCTTTTAGTGACAAATTATAACCGTTAACCAATATTTTTCCAAGTCATTTCTATTTCGAAATAACCTAAGTGTAGTCCCACCTTGACGACTTTCCAGTTGTTTTTCGCTAGGTAGCTGGAGGATATAGACCGGTGACAAAATAAGCAAAAGTGCCATCATTCAGTGACAAATTAGCGACAAATTATAGTCTTTACAATATTTATTTACTCCATTTCCATTTCAGCGTGATAGCAGAAACTGTTACGACAAATTTTCGGATTTGGTAGCAAATTAACGACAAATTATAGGACCTTTTAGGAATAATAAATGTGTATAACTTATGCGTAGAATTTAAAGGCGTACATACCTGTGACTCAGTTTATTAGATACAATTAGTAACCACCGTGCCTATATCAATCGATCAATATTTACATCCCAATTGCCTTGCCGATACGGCGGATTAAATTATTGCTCGTTATTCAGCATGCACATTATGTGTTTGAAGGAATATTTACTGCATAATGTATTTAATTAATTCATGCAACGTACTGTCTAAATTGCATAATTCCAAGCAACAGACTTGTCCGAAGTAGCTGCTCTAGTGAATACTACAAATTAGTACATAGAGACAGCTCGAACACTAAAGCTTGAGATAAGAACATGGTTCAAAATTATTGAATTGAAACCATACTAGAAGGCAGTATTTCACAAATATCTTGAAAATTTCTGGAAACGTAATCTAAAATCATATTGTGAGTATGAAACACCTAAAAAGTCATTTGGAGTATGTTATAGGCCAGAAATTGACTTCGACCTTCGTCGTATTTTTCTGTATTGTTTGTAGATGATTTAGGTACAAAAAGAAAACAATCTTGTGCGTCAATCGCTTGTTTACTTGTTATTTTTATTTGTGTCCAGGCCTAAACAATATGTCCAAGTATTCAATTAAGATATTTATTTTCAGGTATTTTCCTCTCGCTTCTTATATTCCTCTCGATCGCCGGCAATATCCTTGTTTGCGTGGCCATTTACACAGACAGGGGTCTCCGAAGGATCGGTAACTTGTTCCTTGCATCCTTGGCGATCGCCGATCTTTTCGTCGCCGCTCTCGTAATGACTTTCGCAGGCGTAAACGACCTGTTAGGTTACTGGATCTTCGGCGTACAATTTTGCGACACGTGGATCGNATAAAAATTACTTCTGCTTGAAGAAACAAAATATATATCTACATTAGATAGGATGGCAGTGCCTGCCGGACGACGACTAAAGATTTAACAAAGCCCTTTTCGTTCTCAAAGAAAATTAAACCAACTAATAATAAAACAGACCGTTGATGAAGAGGATTCTGACAAATATATAGGCTCCTCCAGAAACAATGCTCTCGCTTAAGCTTACAGAACAGAAATTAATTTAAGAAAGTTTTCACGACAAACAATCCTATGTACTTAGGTACTACGTACTGGTAGATTAGATAAGTCCACAATTGGAATTAGTTTCATTTTCAATGCACAAGCTGAAATTAGATTCCAAACCTCCTTCAGTTATGGAATTTCAAGTGCCTGGCAATTTGTCGCGATCCCTAGAAATATCTAGGATAAATAACCGCTGACTGTAGTATTTCAAAATGTTTTATTAATAATAAGGCTTTACAATGGATAAAGAAGAAGAATCACTCACTTCTGAGAGTATGATCTATCCCATTAAACAAGGTTTACATTATCCGAACAAAAACAACCACTTCATTAAAGGTGTAATCGGATAATACAGCAGCTTTGTTCGCAGTCATATAATTAAGTCACGAATTCGTTAATTCAAAATTAAATAATGTAAATACTGAAGCTCCAATATTAATTTCCCAAAAAAATAATCCAAAATATTTCAAGAACCATCCTGATCTTCAAAACACATCAGTCGGCCCATGCTGTTATTTTAAATTTAACAAAATTTCATATTAAATAAATTGTTATCTTATACGAACTGTGAAACGTCTTTTTACACAATATTCGTATTATACACTATATCTGATCAGTACTTCGAAAAAATTAAGGGAAAAGAAGGTATCTACATGAAAAATAAGTAGAATAAGCAATCTCGTACCACTCAATGATATACATAAACATATTATTAATCATTATATATGCAGTTGACTTGTCTAAGTACCAGCTGTTACGATGGTCACGAATAGGTATGTGTGTTTCGTTGAAATCCAATAATATAACGCGGTAACTGTTCTCAATCATTGATGGCTCATTAACTGGGGTAATTTTTGTGCACACTTTAAACATCCCCTACGTTGTGGTAATATGATGAAACACGCTCTGCAGTGTCTCCAGACGTTACTCTTCAAATATCCCAAAATACTGAGTAGACATACTGTATTTTCTGAAACTGTACGTAAAAATTGCCATAGGATAATATCCTTCGTGCGCGCTACAACGTAAGTAATTAAAATACGTTTATATTATGAGCTAACTTGACCTCACCTTCGTGAAAACTTTAGGTCACGACAACCCCATAAAGGCGCACATACAATACATAATGCTGATACGTATACGTATAATATAAAGTGCGTGTTGGTAGAAAATATCGGCAGCGATTTGATGGAGAGCTTGGGAAATTTGTGATAAGTATAAAAAGTTATATGAAGTCTTATTTTTGTGATATAAATACCACACCACGCTGAATGGTGTTGCTTCTACTGCCAAATATTAAAAATATTTTTTCTTATATTTAGCTCAAAAAAAAAACAATTTTTTAAGACGTAAAATTCCATAAATACTAAGAGTGCAGATAAAATATCAACCTTTTAATTAACGTCTTTGGCATAAATTTTCCTTTTTATCCCAGCGTTTCCCTTTCGTCCTATTTTCAGAAAGTCCTTTATAGATTAAAAGCCTAATCATATCGTGATTAAGAAAACATTACTTCAACTAAATTAAATTAAAATGATCTTAGTTCCTTCTCATTTTTTGCCATTTCCAATTTTAACACAAATAAAATATTGTAGGTAAAGTGAAAAGGAAAATCAATTATGTACTTTAAGTTTAAGACGTATCAATTTTCTGCAAGGACTACGGAAGGAAACTTTGTTTTCATTTTTTCAAAGGAGATGGTTGTATGCCACACACAAGTTCTTATAATGTTAAATTTCGCTTTTTTCTTTGAAAGCAATTTTTCTGAATTAGAACGGTTTTTTCAAAGACAAATCCTAAAGCAATATACCTCATCCTCTGTTTATTTGTACAAACGCATAAGTGACTATGTCCCAATACAAGCGGGACTTTGAGAGATAAAATTGTAACCGTATTTCAGAGAAAAAGGATACTTCTACTTTGAAAATGCCTGAACTTTGTCGTTCGTTTAAAAATAAAAGAATTTGTTTGTACCTGAATTCGCCAAGGTAAAACGTATAACTTTTACGTCAACATCCTACTAACAAAAAAAGGTTTGGTATTTATAATAGAAGAAAAAGCAAGGTAAAATGTAATTTTTATTTGTCTACACATATTCCAAGAATATATTGTTTTAAATATGGTTGTTATCCCCAAAATCGTAGGCAGACTGTGTAATTTTGATTATAGTCATGTTTTAAATGGTAGATTTTACAAAGAGAACTACTTAATGTTAATTCATGATCTCTTTTGCAGAAAGAAAATCATATAAAGGCTCAAAACCTTGGTCTTTTATTTTTTTTAATTTACGATTAAATTTTCTTAAAGGTACTAACTCAATGTATTGATAAAGATGTAATTGAAAGATTGATGTAAGAAACATCAAGTTTGACATTCGTAGATGGTCGTTATGGGCGAATAATCTTAAAAAGTACCGTTGAAATGTCGAAAATGTATGATTCATGAAGATACACAAACATCATCAACAACTACTAAAAAATTTTATTGAAAATTTTGGTGGATGCGCCGGGACAATTTAAAACAAAAGNTATTCAGCATGCACATTATGTGTTTGAAGGAATATTTACTGCATAATGTATTTAATTAATTCATGCAACGTACTGTCTAAATTGCATAATTCCAAGCAACAGACTTGTCCGAAGTAGCTGCTCTAGTGAATACTACAAATTAGTACATAGAGACAGCTCGAACACTAAAGCTTGAGATAAGAACATGGTTCAAAATTATTGAATTGAAACCATACTAGAAGGCAGTATTTCACAAATATCTTGAAAATTTCTGGAAACGTAATCTAAAATCATATTCTGAGTATGAAACACCTAAAAAGTCATTTCGAGTATGTTATAGGCCAGAAATTGACTTCGACCTTCGTCGTATTTTTCTGTATTGTTTGTAGATGATTTAGGTACAAAAAGAAAACAATCTTGTGCGTCAATCGCTTGTTTACTTGTTATTTTTATTTGTGTCCAGGCCTAAACAATATGTCCAAGTATTCAATTAAGATATTTATTTTCAGGTATTTTCCTCTCGCTTCTTATATTCCTCTCGATCGCCGGCAATATCCTTGTTTGCGTGGCCATTTACACAGACAGGGGTCTCCGAAGGATCGGTAACTTGTTCCTTGCATCCTTGGCGATCGCCGATCTTTTCGTCGCCGCTCTCGTAATGACTTTCGCAGGCGTAAACGACCTGTTAGGTTACTGGGAAGAAAATTTCGAGCAAGACCCTGTTACTGTGCTCTCAATTCTCTTAGTGGGTGAGTAACAAAATACAATTTCATTCCCGAATGAATATAAATTAAGTTGTTGTAAATTTCATTAAAAATTACTGTCTCGAAATAATACGCTTAGACGTGATTCTTTTTGGGTGTTTTTGATAAATTTAAAAAGCAAACGAAATAATCCGGCGATTATTCAAATATTGCGCTACTCCTCATGGGAATCCCCGAATTAATAAATAAATACGGTGCACTTGAATTGAGCACAAAAACGATTAATAAGCATGAACTGAGCACAAACGGACGCCTGAATTGAGCACAAAGATTTTCTTACCTGCATGTGTTTAAATAAACACCCGTATTGAGCACAAGCCATATTGCCAGCTTTCTTTTAAAATATCTGTAGGGATTTGAGTTCTTTTTGAAGCAGTAGGTAGGTAAACAAGTAAATTTTCTAATGGAATGTTGTAACAAAAAACAATATTTACTTTGAATTATTTTATTTATTTTTTACAAGTACTTATAGGATTAATATTTCAACTTTACATTAGATACATAGTATTAACTTAACTAACGATATTTTTATAAGAAATAGATTTTGCGTAGTCGTATCTTAATATTTCACCATCATTTAGTTATCTTTATTTTTTGATCAATAAAATTGATTTTTAACAGTATTTTTCGTCTTAATCTTTTTTTCAACTTGGTTAATTGAATTTATTTTTATGTAAGTGTCTGTTTGAACCTTTAAAGAAGAATTGATATTGGGATGCGAAGAGACGTTTTCCTTCTTAAATTTCGAATGGAATGCCTCGCAAGTGTTGGTTGTTCTACAGACATTAGAAGACTGTTCGGCCCAAATTTTATTGAAGACATGTTATTTATTGTACAAGAGAATGATAACTATAATTGCATAAGGGAAGTCCCTTGTTTTCATTAATTTCTCCCGCCCTTTACAAACCAGTTAAATTTGGAAACATTACAACGTTAATGTTGTTCTTATCATCGGTAATTTTATTTGCTACCTGTGTGATCCCTGTGCTCAATTCCATTCTTGATAAACTAACCCTCGATAAATACTTGTTTACCTGCTTACGCTCTGTGCTCAATTCGAGTGTCACCATCTAATCTAGGTCTACCTCTACTCCTCTTAACTCCTGTTTCTGCCTGTAATATGTTTCTGACTAGACCTGCATGCCTGAGAAGGTGTTTTACTAACCTATCTCGCCTATTTTTAATTTTCGCTACCGCGAAATTGTTTTCTAAGTGCTTATAATAGAGTAAAACGTTGGCAGTTGTTTTTAAAAAATAAATAACCTTCCACCCTTTTGGCTTTCATTACACTTTGTTAATTATTACAAACAGAATACATGACATATTAAATTAACAAAATTAAAAGCGCTCTGAATACCCAACCGAATTGAACGAAATGAATAAATTAAATTTTCTGAAAAATTAAATCTGATTAGTCTGTCCGAAACTATTAAAATATGCGAAAATAGAGTTTCATGAATAAATAAGTAATTCGTAGTGAAAGGACTTTATGCATTTTGTATTCAGTGACAATTGACATTTTGAAAACAAACGCTAATTAATGATGACGCAATGTTAGTCTACTGGTTGTGTGGTGATTTGTTTTTTATCACCAACGGTGCCAATACCAGCTGAAATTTACCCACAAAACTGTCTGGTTCGCACTTTGACATGCATTAACCACAACATATGTATGCGCATGAAAGTCAATTCATGCAACTAATGAACTACAATATATACGTACATACATACATATACCACAATGATTCTTTTTCGCGAATTAATTTGTCCAAATAAAATTCGAATTTTCCTCGTAAATTTTTAGTCTCTGCTTATAGAGTAAAGTCGGTGAATGTGGAATAGGTCAGGTAATGTGGAATACCATTTTTGCACTAAAACTAGAAGTGTCATCTACATTCTAGTTGCTGTATTAGGTACTACTCTTAATGTATTTCGAATTAATGTGTTATGTAATCCTATGTTTGTTATAGGTGACGTTGTGTTTAATCAGAAATGATTTCGCAGGTGGCTGACATTTTGTAGGGTAGTGATACTGTTAACTGTTACGCATTTGTTTGGACCGATTTAAAAATAGTGGTGCTGCGTGTAGTTACTGTAAGTGTTTTAGAGTGTGAGGTATGATATTACAGCCCTATAAAATTAACTTTATCCAAGTTTCTATATGGTCATAGTTTCGTGTCTATAAGTGGGTATTGTGGAATATCAATAGGTTTGCTATTGTGGACTATTCCACATAACCAATTCCATTTTCCCCTCCCTAACTCCCAATGAAGATGCCGAATGTATTTTTTGTGCAGGTAAATTTTCTGAAGATACAAGAGGAGAGGTTTGGATACAATGCATAATGTGTAGTGGCTGGTGCCATGAAGTGTGNACCTTTTAGGAATAATAAATATGTATAACTTATGCGTAGAATTTAAAGGCGTACATACCTGTGACTCAGTTTATTAGATACAATTAGTAACCACCCTGCCTATATCAATCAATCAATATTTACATCCCAATTGCCTTGCCGATACGGTGGATTAAATTATTGCTCGTTATTCAGCATGCACATTATGTGTTTGAAGGAATATTTACTGCATAATGTATTTAATTAATTCATGCAACGTACTGTCTAAATTGCATAATTCCAAGCAACAGACTTGTCCGAAGTAGCTGCTCTAGTGAATACTACAAATTAGTACATAGAGACAGCTCGAACACTAAAGCTTGAGATAAGAACATGGTTCAAAATTATTGAATTGAAACCATACTAGAAGGCAGTATTTCACAAATATCTTGAAAATTTCTGGAAACGTAATCTAAAATCATATTCTGAGTATGAAACACCTAAAAAGTCATTTCGAGTATGTTATAGGCCAGAAATTGACTTCGACCTTCGTCGTATTTTTCTGTATTGTTTGTAGATGATTTAGGTACAAAAAGAAAACAATCTTGTGCGTCAATCGCTTGTTTACTTGTTATTTTTATTTGTGTCCAGGCCTAAACAATATGTCCAAGTATTCAATTAAGATATTTATTTTCAGGTATTTTCCTCTCGCTTCTTATATTCCTCTCGATCGCCGGCAATATCCTTGTTTGCGTGGCCATTTACACAGACAGGGGTCTCCGAAGGATCGGTAACTTGTTCCTTGCATCCTTGGCGATCGCCGATCTTTTCGTCGCCGCTCTCGTAATGACTTTTGCAGGCGTAAACGACCTGTTAGGTTACTGGATCTTCGGCGTACAATTTTGCGACACGTGGATCGCATTCGACGTCATGTGTTCGACAGCCAGCATTTTAAATCTCTGTGCCATTTCGTTGGATCGTTACATTCACATCAAAGATCCTTTAAGGTAAGTTTTATAACGTTATTTATACTGCTGTGTATTTATCCATCGTCAGAAAGTTTCCCTGATTAGTTCCTGTAAACTTATCGTCAGTTGCTCTTGCATAAAGTCTACCACAGTTATGAGCTCTCGGTAGTACTACTAAAAATACCGCCGCTCCGTATCGATCGCCGCCTGAGGTATTCGTTCATAAAAATATAAAAATGTGGTAATCAGATAATGAAAAAGAGCCTGTCTCACGTTGATAAATAAATAACGATTTGTTTGCTTCATAATCTGTCTAAAAAAGTCCTAAATCAATTAATTAAGATAGAGTTGTAATCAATTAAAATTTTACAGAGAGAGAGGTAGCAAAAGATTGCAAGTTTCGTTTTCAAACAGAATTAGAATCTTTACTTTAGCTATTGTTTTTTTTTTTTAATTAGGACATCCTTTTGCAATTTGAGTCCTTGTAAAAATTTTAAGACGATCATTTTCCTCTCCATTCAAGTTTCGAACTAAAAACTTTTTAATTAAAATATTCTTTGTCAGTGAAAAATAAGTCAATTATAGAATCGCCTTCCACACAGAGTGTAGTGTAAAACAACAAACCAACAGCTCGTTTAATTTTGTTGCAAGTTTTAAACGAGTTGTGGCCAAAACTTGGGCTTACAGGTACTGTTTAAACCGTGAAGTAATGTTTGCGCCAAAACTAATTAACGCTACAAACAAGGTCAACTTTGCTTGAATGTTAATCAAGCCTACGATATAACTAACTAAATTTTACACTATTACAAGTGAGGTTGTCTATAGTAATAATTATAATATTTAAACAAATTATTTTTTATTACCTACAAATTATGTAGCTTTACGGGTAACAATCGAGAAAACGATAGAAAAAAGAAAGAGTGCGTACATAGGATTTGTAGATTTAGAAAAAGCTTTTGACGATGTGCTGAATGGGACAAGATGTTAAATATACTTAAAAATGTAGGGATGAGTTACAAAGATAGAAGAGTGATACTTAGTTTATATAAAGAGCACTATGCAGTTATAGAGATGGGGCTGCAACGTAGAGAAGTAAATATTAGGAAGGGATTCAGACAGGGTTGCACACTGTCAATGCTACTTTTTAATCTATACATCAAAAACGCGATCAACATCATTAAAGACACTACAACTGTAGGGATAGATGTACAAGGGCAAAAGATTAGTATGCTTAGATTTGCAGATGATACAGTAGTATTAGCATCTAGCAAGGAGGACTTGGAGATAGCTTTGAATAAAATGGAAGTGGTATTGACAAAACAGTATTGTATGAAAATAAATAGAAGTAAAACAAAGATACTGATATGCAAGGAAAGAAAGCAGAGGAAAACATGGACAGTGAGCGCAGAGGAAAAGAAAAGGTTAGGAGCGTTCGAAATGTTGTGTTACAGGTGAATGATGAGAATACCGTAGATATAGAAGGTTAGAAATGAAGAGGTATTAGAAAGAATAGGAGAACAGAGGACTCTATGGAAGTCAATAATAAATAGACGAGATACGTTGGTAGGACGTTTTTTAGGCATGAAGGTCTGGTCAGAGACATATTGGAGGCAGAAACGGGAGTTAGGAGGGGTAGAGATAGACCTAGATTAGATTACTGTTCGTAAATAGTACAGGATGTGGGATGTTCTAATTTTAAGGAAATGCGAAGATTAGCTCAGGATAGGAAAGAGTGGAAGTGCGTGACAAACAAGTCCTAGGACTGACGACCTTATGATGATGATGATGATAGATTATATATGTAGGTAGGTACGTGGTATCACATAAATAAAAAATTGTTTCATTTTTGAAGAAGCGTAAAAAGCTAAATTTTGATTTTCTTTAAACCATTTAGTCCTAAAGGTTCTTCTAAAAGTAGGATCCGAAACTTGTACGTCGATTTTGGTTCATTTCAGTTTATTATTTTGTCTATGGAACAAGGAACGATTTGTCCTTTTCGGGAAAATTATATGTAGTAATCGTGAAAAAAGGCCGTACCATAAATAATTACCTATCGACTGGCTTCGATTTGGTCGGCACAATTCGATCATTGAATTAGCGCAGCGAAGGCAGAGAAGGTAATCTTTCTTTTAATTAATGTCAGTCCCATTTCCTTTTTCGATCAGCGCCTACGAGCATCTTAAGGGAAGGCTGGCTCGTCTGATTATCAACTTACGAGATTTTGTTCTTATACAGGAGCAGCACGTCTTTACGGGCAGCAACCTTTAATTAACATCTCACACTCTTTTAACTTTTCGATTACATCTTAACAAAGTTAAGCGAACCTTTTCGCGTCTCGTTCAAGGTTGATTATCCGGAGATTAATAACAATCTTTGGTCAAACGATCTACATCCACTTGTTAAAAGGAAAATGAATCTATCGGTTGTAGCAGAAAGATATTAAGTACTAGATTTTACCCGTGCTGAAGTCCTAAAAACTTGTCAACGATCATCGACCACCACATAAAACTAATCTTTCTATCCCTCGTAAATGGTATTTGTTTTCGAGATAAAAAGTACCCTATGTCCTTTTGTGTATCCCTGACAATGTATGTACAAAATTTTGTGATGATTGGTTCAGTAGTTAAGGGATGAAATGGTAATAAACAAACAAACAAACTCACATTAGCATTTATAATATCAATCAGGATGTCGTAGTCGACTGTAAGCCAAAGTCAATTTCGGCGATCTAATTAGGAATACTCAGTTTCAAAAGAAAATAAAATTTAAATGGTATTTTTCCTAATTTTGCTTTTTTAGTACTCACAAACGTAGACCCTGATCAATTTCGAAGTAAAATAAAAACATGGAGAACTAAATAACTTATGTCAAAAAAATTTTGAAAGAGAAAATACAAAAATAGTTTACAAGACACAAAACGATGTAATAAAGTGTAATTACAGTAAAAATGTATAACAAAAATAGACAAAAAAGACAGTACTATAATTCAAAATATATTAGGTGCAGGAATGACAAGAAGAATAATTAACAATGACGTTATAAACTACATATCGTCAAAATTTTAATATCGTTTATGACCAGAGGTTTTCTGTTTTAATAGGTCAAAGTATATATTTTCTACATACGTCCCTGTATTAGGTAAACAACCCTTACCTAGAAATACATATTTTTGATCGATTGTAATAGCAGTTTTTTATTACACATATAATATACATACAAAGGTATTATAAATCAGTTTTATTTCATGTCGAGGTTTTTCTCCACAATGATGGCCTTTTCGTAAACAGAATGTCAACTAAATGATTGATTGTTATAGATTTAAGCGAACTGAAACCTATTAGCTAATAATGATGTTGATAATTCCTGTAATGATGTTACGTGATTCAAGGTTCCGCAGATGAATTTTTCGAAACAAAAACGACTCTTTGGCAAGTTTCGGATATTAGGAAAGGGACGAGGGACCGATAGTGAGAAACAATAAATCATTATCGAACTTGATAGCATGGTCGTTTTAATACATACTCCACTAATAACTTCTTTCGTCGCTTTTTCTTTCTTTTTTAGAAATCCTTTTCAGAACTTTTTCTTTAGAAACTTCGACACGAAAGTCTTCATTTTTAGAAAATTATATTAATTAACCCATTGTGTTAGCCTTTTCAACACTAATTTCAGACAGAATAGGTAAAATATCTTAAAACGTGTATCGGGGTATTTACCGGTATGA